CACACACACACACACACACACACACACACACACACACACACACACACGGACAGACACACACACACGGACAGACACACAGTATCAAAGAGTGACATTCTGCTGGAAAAATGAAGGCAGCCACACAGCTCAGCTCTGTGTGTCTGTGATCATGCCTACAGTGTTTATGCGTGACACATATAGCACTTTCATGCATGTGTTAGGGAGTTTCGGGCGCTATCTACTCTCTTCTTCTTCCTCTTCTTCTTCAGCAGCAGCAGTCATGCATGCAGGCTTGAGTGTTTCCCCCCCCCCCCCCCCCCAATGTGAACTGTTGAATATTTGATGTGAAGTTCTGTCTTTAATGCGAGCAGCAGCAGCTGCAGAAGCAGCTTTGTGTGAACGCGGCGTATATAGGACAAAACCCGACCAGGCATCTAGGAGCTGTCGGGGGAGCTGCCACAGTCGACGTATTTTACAGCTCCATCAAATCACGGAGGGACTTTCCTGCCTTTTTGAACAACATCACGAGAATCTGTCTGAAGGCTGAAACTCAATACGACCGACTCGGATTCTCTCAAAATGAGAACTTTTCGCTAAAGGCTAGCCTCCATCCTTTTCCCCCCAGCATCTGCTACTCTTGGCGCCATGGCAATGGGGCGCCTCCAGAGTGTGCCGATATATAGGTCAGTGGTCATGCGGGGCTCCACCCAAAGCAAAATACCACATAGCTGTCTGCTCTCCATGCATACAAAGGTGGAGGAGGAAGACGTGAGCACCCATCCATACCGACAGACGGTTGGGACATGACACCACACACACACACACACACACACACACACACACACACACACACACACAAAGACCTGAATACAAATTACCCAGACTTGGTTTGTGAGTCTGCAGCAGCTTCGCAGGTGATTTGTGCTATCAGCTGTGCAGCGACATGAATACAGGAACATGTGCTCTCCCACTCCCCCCTCTCCAGTCTGTGTCTCTTTGTCTGCTGACGGTCTTTGTGAAGCAGACTGTTTGACACAATGAAAAGATGGAGAACATTAGATCTACATCTACATATTTGTCTGTTTGAGTGCATGTTCACATCCTCATGTGTGTATAACTATACCATTGTGGACACTTAGGTTGTGGACACTCAGTGATATATGAATACGGAGGAGCTAACACCATGTTGAGTTTTACAGTTCGCGAGGACACACATGCGACGCATGTTGTTTTTTAAAATGTCGATTCTGATTAAATATCAAGGCAAGAGTAGGAACTTTCTGGCACAAATTCACCTATACTTACGGAAAGGAAAAAGTCCCTTGTAAAAGTATTATCAGCAAACTGTGCTTAAAATATCAAAAGTAAAAGTACTGCTGACAAAATGCCCCTGTGACTGATCGATTATTATATAACATTATCAGTTTATTTTACAGAGCTGTGTAGACGTTCGAGGTGAGGATAGTTGTAACTACTTTATAGAGAACAGAGAAGAAACGTTTTATTCAAATTTATACTTGTATAATTGTATAATTTTACCTCTTTGGTCTCAAGCAGTTATTTCAATGAAACCATCTTTTTTGGACACCTGACATATGACAAAGGACCCCAACTAGACACCGACCTGAGCATATAATTGATAGTGTGGAATGTGCAATTTTGTGTTTTCTCTTTAAAAACCAGGAGCATTGAACAGAGTTTGGTTGGTGGCGAGTGAAAATATTTTTAAGAGAGTTTAGACTCCCGACCTCTTGATTTGTAAGATCCTGGCTGTGCGGCCCTGCACTCGTCCTTCAGTTTGTGTTTCATTTACAAACCCCGGGGTCTCCGGTAGTGATCGCCTCTCGCTGAGTGAAGTCATTTAGCGGTGGAACTTCAATGTGCAGCCGCCGCGAGCCTTGATTAATGGAGCATCACTGCTCATACAGACAGAGTGAAACTACGAGGCGAGAAGTATTGATCGTCTCACGCTGCAATCTCACTGTGAGGCGGGAGAAATGTCAAATAGAAATGTCAACGTGTCACTTTGGCTGCAGGACTGACTAGAAATACCGCGATCTATATATATAAAAAATAGTTCCACAACAAAACAATACCCATCACAGGGATATGAAACTGGTAAAGGTCTCCATCCATCCGTCAGTTTGGCGATCTGCTCATTAACCCATATTCATCAGTTTTTTTCATACCCCCATCCATTTGTCCATCATCCATCCATCCATCCATCTCTCTCTTTCTGTCCATCCATCCCTTTGTTTTAATGAGTCTATCCATCCCTCCCTCCGTCTTTCCATGTATCTGTACATCCATCAGTCCATCTATCCTTCAGTTTGTCTGTCCATAGTTATCCGTCCATCTGCCTGTCCGTCTGTTCATGTTTTTTTGCCAATCCGTCCATCGATCCGTCCCCCAATCTGTCTGCCCATTTATCCATCTATCAATTCATCCATCCCTCCCACAGTAGACAGGCTGCCAGTCCGTCTTAGGACCAGTAAACATAGACAAACAACACATTCACACCTACAAACTATTTAGAGTTTCCAGTCCACCTGACCTGCATGCTTTTGGACTGTGGGAGGAAAACGGAGCACAGAACCATTAAATGCATGCAACCTTTACACAAAAAAGGAGTAACTGGTGAACGTGTTTCTGGCTATTTCTTACAGTTTGTTTCTACCATGAGATAAGTCGCTGCCGTGTCGCCTGGAAGGGTCTGGATTTCTCTATTATGATTAAACAATACACAACATTTTTTTTAGTCATTCAGCTGCTTCAGTGTTTGATCAAAATGAAAATCTGCAGATTCCCTCGTCCCTCTGCGGCACACATCCTCCTCTTCCTGTTCTAATGTGGGCAGGTTCATATCAGCAGACTGCGATGAGTCCTGCGTTAGCTCCGATTCACTCTCACTCACTGGGTTAGTGTGACCCCGATCTCACAAAGCCCCCTCTCACATGCAGATACTGACTTCTCATTACTCATTCAGACACACAACACACAAGTGTGCTCTCTGTGTCTCTGTCTGTCTGATCTACAACTGCTTCTCTGCGCTAGTTTCTCCCTTGAAATCTGGGGAATTCATGGTTCTCGATTTATATATACATAAAAAATAACATAAGAAACACACCCTGTCAAATACTGTGAACTGCACACACGCAGTGCAACATGTCCAGTGGTCATGGCCACATTTGTTCTTCAATAGTCCCCCTCCCCCACCTCTCTACCTCTGACCTTGACTGCAAATAGCAGTGCTACAGTGATAATCTATTTCATGGTAAAACAAACACACACACAGGAGTGTAGTGTTGCAGCAAGGAGGCGACACAAAGAAAGGGGGGGGGGGGGGGGGCACCCTTAATGGAAATACCATCTGTTTGGATCGGAGCACGCTGCACAGTTCTTCCTAAAAGCACTCAGTTCAGTCCTTGTTAGTTTATACGAATGATTCACCTCCCTGTACAAGGATACAGATATCTTTTGCTGCCATTTCAATCAAATTGCACTCGCTGATTCTCAAGAGTTTTTGAGTGTCTTGAACTAATGAACTGGATTTCATCAGTGTCCTAAAAACATATTACATTTTAATTCCACAAAAGAGGGCTGAGCAAATATAATCTTTTTCGTCTGCTAGCTGCTCTCGTCTGTCCACTTTCATGCCTTTGAACTACACCGACCTGTCATCAGACAAAGAAGTGTGCATCTATAAGAGATACAGCCATGTTGCTTGGAAACTGCAAGAAGAGTGTTTTACGTACTACTTTAAAAAGGACTCATTTGCCATCACAGGATAGTGCAGTGATGGTCTTTCTCTACCTCTTTTCCTCAGCCTTTGTGTCTGTGCATGTATGTGTGCAAAGCTTCAATTTCTGACTTTCATTAGAGGAGGACGTAGCTGACTCTGACGATGAATAGTAGAGTACTTTAAGTAAGTACAGTTGCATTCAGCTGTGTTTTGAGATATATTCTTGTGTGTAGCAGTTTCAGGCCTTCATGTTTCTGTTTTTTCTAGCTTACGTCTTCATGCAAATGTGTCTTAAATCTTCCCTCCGTCTTTGTTTAGGGTGCTTCTGTGGTCTGGGACTGGTTTACTCCAACAAGTCGTGCACCATGCCGCCCATCACCTTCCAGGACCTGCCTCTCAACATCTACATGGTCATCTTTGGGACAGGCATCTTTGTCTTCATCCTGAGTCTCATCTTCTGCTGTTACTTCATCAGGTGAGGGGTGACAGGAACAGAAATATGTCATTGGAAACAAGAAATGTGTGAAAAAAACAAAAACAGGACTAAGGCTTTTTTCAAACCTATATTTCTTTTGCTCTGGTTCGATTCAGTGGATGAGTTGGTTAACTTCCTCCTGGTTCAGTTTCATTTCAAGCTAAAAAGCAATTCAAGCAAACTGAAATGCATCACCCGGCTCTTTGGGACCCGCTGAGCTCAAACTTGCAGGGTACGCCTTGTACTGTATGTGCGTCAGATCGAGGTTGGATCATGTTCTCACCACAACCAAATAGCTACAGAATGGTTTGTGACCGGACTGAGACCACTTCCTCTGCAGGCTCTCCGTGTGATTGATTTGGTCTGCACCCAACTCAAGTACAACTGCAATGCGACTTTTTTCATCCGATTATGCCAGAATGCTTATACACAGTCAAGTCTGTGTATACGCTCCGAGATGGGATATTGGTCGCTTTGAGATCCGATCAGCCAGACCACGTGCCGAGGTGGCCTGGCTCGCATTGAGTTCGGATCTCATTGAGGAGTGGACAATATTTGGGCACAATCCAGACAGTTTATCAGACGTAGGTCTCCATCATCTTCCCCCCACAAGGGAGTTACTCTACCGAGGAGAGCAAAGGGGAGAGATGAGGAAAACCGGGGCTGGAGCAGCTGAGACCTGCTGCCAGTCTTAAGTTAAGTTACATTTCCTGATTTTGCTGCTACATAATAAAAGCTTTTAAATAACAAAATAACTGGGGGACTTGTACTGTGAAGAGTTGAGTTGGTGAGAGTTTTCTTAGTGGCTATTCTTCATTGAAACAAGTCTACTAATCCTGCAGAGAGAAAGAGTAAGCAGCAAAACTATTTCAAAAAAAATATTTTGAAGAAGTTGTAGGAAATGAAATGCATTTATACACCACTTTACAGCTATTATCCCATCAGGGAAGTTATTTCTGTCATAAATAGCTGAGTTCTGGTCTGGCACATCTTATCCCAAAAGTGGCATTGCAAAGATAAGTGTAACTGTGTCCAAATTGTACCAAGCCACTCAAACAAACAGTTTGGCAGGACAAAACAACACTTGTGTTAGGCTTTGTGAGGCAGCTCTGCAGCAGTGCTTTGCTTTAAATGCTAAGGTCAGCATGCTAATATGCTCACAAGGACAATGCTAACCTTGTTCACCATCGAATATAGTGCATTAGTATGCTAACATTTTCTCACTTGCATATTACAAAAGCACAGCTGAGGCTGATGGGAATGTCAGTTTTGCAGATATTTGATGCTGAAAAATATTTTTTTGACAACATTTTGACCTGATGGTGGTGCTAGATAAAACATCAGGGACTCACCAAGTGAATGTGATTCATCCTCTGGGGGTCATGATTATATTTACAAATTGTCATGGCAATCTATCCAATAATTGTTAAGAGATTTCAGTGTGAACCACAGTGATGTGTGTGTAGGCAAGAAACAGTGAGGGAGGGAAGGAGGAAGAGGAATAAATAGAGGAACAGGGTGACCTCTCCCGCTGTGGACGGTAAACTCCCCGATGAGCTGAATGGACGTTTGTGTCTGAAGGACGGGATATGAGGCAACAGGAAGCAGCGCGCAACAATGTATGAGGACAGCAGCGAGGAAAACTGCAGAGCGACTCAGAATAAACTCGACCTGAATAGCACACAGTGGGAGTACACGAAAAAAACATCACACATGAACGTCTGCGATGTGCAAAATCATAAAAGGAAGCGCCAACACCTGCAAAGGGTCTGTTCTTTAATCTGAGCTGTCTTTGGATGACTGAGCATCTGAATTTGGAAGTTTACCTGACATTTCAAAATGTGCTATTATTTTTGGTGTTGCGTATGATTTTTGAATTGCCTCTTATCAAAATGTCAAACAATTGGAAAGAACTTGTCTGTCGGCTGGAGACATATAGAGCAGTCAGAATACAAATGAACGTCACTAACAGTTAGCTGGTATCCAGCAGGTATGTGACGCCTTTTTTTTCGATTTTGTGCGTTTCCCTCCTGTGCAGTCTAATTTCTATAATTACATATAAATGAATTCCCACAGCAGCACCAAGTGGAATAGACGACTGTGCCAACAATCTAACCAACTTCTAAATACCTTTAAAACGTAGTTTACTCTTGACCTCAAAACACCAGTACACAAAAGAACATCAACACAAGAAAACTTCATAGGGCCAATTACAGTATTTTTACTATCATTATATTTAAAGTGGCACAAAGTTGTAAACATAGCGGAGCATTTTTAGCAGCTGAAGAGCCAGATATTTTGAGAAGTGAATTGTGCACCCCGGAGACGATCATCAGGATACAATAGCATGCATTTATTGGTTTGAATAGGTCACACAAACTCCACACCAAGGGGAACAATACAAACCTTAATATTTCAATATACCTGTAACTTGCAAGGTACAACTTGAGCTGACTCATGGGTTTGCTGAGATCAATTATTTTGAGAAACAGAAATTCCTTTTTTTCAACTCTCAGGCGAACCTGAAGGAAATCTTATAAAAGACAAAAAACAGGCATCAATTTAGAGTAGTTTTAAATCTCTAGGATACTTTTACATTGTAGTTATTACCCAGAGAAAAGAAAACCTGGCCGGCACATTAATGTTTTGTTTGACCTGGGCTCGGCACTTAATCGACCATCGACTCTGTCAGACAGGCTCGGATTCTACCCGTTTCTCTTGAAGCACTTGCCTGTGAATCATAACCAATGAGCCACTTCCTTTCGCTCCCATTACCATGCTGAAGGTATTCTTGGGTAGGAGTGTGATTGTGAATTAATTTATAGACCGGGTGATTCATCAGATGAATACTGAGTGATGAATGTCATTGTCTGCTGGGGGCAGGCTTCCTATTATACATTCAGAGACGCTCTCTCTAAATCATGTGTGTCTGGGAGTAAGGGATGTTCGATTTTAACCTTACGGTGACTTAAAGATCGGTCTCTATTTGTCGATGTGAGATCTTTACGCATACGAAGCAAAAAGCAATTATATCTTTTCAGCCTTCATAATCAAACCGTTGCTGTTCTAACAGTGGCTCAAACTGGGGGCGTACACAGCAGTTCCTGCAATGTACAAGAGTGCAAAACCACGAGGGTGTCAAAAGCACACTCCAAAAATATCACATCTTCATTATACCCCAATGTGCTCCAACAGCAGCAGTTCTGTGTTCAGTGTTTTTAACATTGACTTTTACTTAAGAACTGCACTCAAGTACAATTTTGGGGTACTTTTACTTTAGTTGTGTATTTCAATGTTCTGCTACTTAATACTTCTGCATTTCAGAGGGAAATAATGTACTTTCTACTGGACAACATTCATCTGATACCTTTAGTTAATTTACAGAAGATTTTACAAACACAACACATGAAGAATTAATACAATATTAATACAACAGGAAGCATGTCTGCGCCCAGTCAAACTTCTAATAGTCAGAAATGCCTCTCAAATCCCCCTGCTGTAATATGAAGGTGTACAAGGTCATTCATAGAGATGCCATCTTACCTGCAGATTATCAGCAGGCTGGAGGTCGTTTTCTATTGAATGTGAACACAGAGAGACAGCAGCCTGTCAGAAGAGAGAGAGACATTGTTAGTCACATGTGAAAAAAAGTTTGTTTCTACGGAGAGTACTTTGGTTTATAAAAGTTAGTCTCTGAAAATGTCAAAGTAGGAAACAAATGAACTGCAAGATAGCATATTATAAGCAGTCATATTAGTAGCAAAATGTTGGCTTGGCTAATATCGTCATCCAAGGAAATGACCTAGTGTGTGATGAGCTCTATGTTGTCTGTTAAAATGTTTTCCTAAGGAAAAGCAGTAATCGGTCTGTAGTTGTCCGCGCCTATCATTCACACCTGTTGAATTCATTGTTACTTCATACAATAAGAACCGGTCAGCAGTAGCTATACGAGGATTTTCTTCTATTCTTGTAGAAACACTGAAATCTCAGTCATGTCGCCCTTTTCACCCACTTCACATCATTCTCCAGGCATGGGAAACCGCGACACATGTAGAACGTGTATCCTCACATTGTTCTGCATGGAAGATTGTTAGTGGCAATCAGCGTAAACAATAAACCAAGTGACAAACACAGCAAATCACTGCCATTTCCTGACTTCAATTCTTTTTTTTCTTGAGGGGGGGGGGATCAGATAAAAAAAATAAACCTTCATCTTTCATCTCAGATGCTGTGACTGCATTTAGTTTCAGGCTCAAATCACAGACAGCGACAGACATGTGAGTCTATGTTTAGTTGTGTAAAAGCAGGAGGCCAAAAATAACCGACGCAGCTCGCCAAGTGATAAAGATCTCCTCTCTATTGTTGGTTGCGAGGGCGGTGCAGGGATTCGAAGACGCAACATACTCATTAGCTGTGTTTGTGTATGTATGTGCGTGGAAGTGTGTGTGTTAGCGTTTGCGTGTTCAGCGTGTGGACAATGTGCGTGTGTGCTTGCAGGGGAACATGTATTTGTCTGTGGATGTGTCGCTCTTTGAAAAGACAGTTAATTGTCAAAGCTTACCCTGCTTCTGTTACACGCAGTCCCATAATGTAACCACACAAACAGAAAACCTCAGCCCGAAACCAAGACCTGCTGCTAAACTCAGCTTCGAATAAATACAAACATCTTTATCTCCTAATAGACTCATGGAAGTCGTTACAATGAGCTCAATGCGACCAGCAGCAACAATAAATTGCTGCCTACGCTCAGCAAGATGAGGGATTTGCTTTCAATAGTCTACTTGCTGATACTTATTTTACTTTAAGCTGCACTAATCAGTATTTTCATATGAACGATAGGTCAAATGACTTTGTGTAATGTCAAAGGGGTCATCCACCGTTAAAGGAGGTTGACGTGCATTATTGTGATAACCTCTCTGTACTTTCCCCACTGTGGTAAGAAGTATTTAAGTATTTAGATCCTTTACTTAAGTATGCAAGCAATGCCACAATGAAGAAATACACTGTTACAAGCAGTCCTGTATTTATAGTACAAGTCCAGAAGTATAGAAAAATGTACTTATAATATCAAAAGTACAGGGACCCATGAACAACACTGGGGAAAATGGACGTCATACAAGAAAAAAGACGACTCTGAAAAGTGAGGATCAAAGACAGTAAAGAGAGAGAGTAGTGCCCTCCACTTTTCTATTTCTAGTTTTTTATTTTTAGAATTATTTCTATTTCTGTCATCCATGATGTTTTGCTGTGGATTTTGTTCAGTGTAATAGAAACTGAAAAATAAAAAAATAAAAAAGTGACTTTTTCAGAGTAAAACTTTGAATGCAGGACTTTCTACTTTTACTACCTCTACTTTAATTTAAGCAAGAAGTACATGTAAAATGGTCAAATTAAGGTTAAACAGGTTGTAAACAAAGTTATTTATTAATGTGATAATAAATGTTTCTCTCTTCATCCACAGCAAACTACGACACCAAGCCCAGAGCGAGCGGTTTGGATACAGAGAAGTATATCCTGACGTTAATATTTAAGCACCCTTTAGGTCTGAATAATAATAAATAGATAAATCTCTCTAAAACATATTTTGTTTATGTTACTCCAGGTGGTTTTAAAAGGAGATCCAAAAAAGTTGAATCTTCACGGGGTAAGGATGTGATTTTCATTGATTCCTGCAAAAAATTAACAACTTGAAATGTTTTATAATATGAAAAAAAAAAAAAACGGTCCTAACTCTGTCCTGTCTGTCACTCACGCAGCAGACGTGCGCCGTGTGTCTGGAGGACTTCAAAGTGAAAGACGAGCTGGGGGTGTTGCCATGCCAACATGCTTTCCACAGGAAGTGAGTACAGGAGAGCAGAGCGGAGTCTCTGTTTCTCTCTTACCGCTTTTCACCCGCACGGGCTTGTTAAAATGACGATGACCGCCTTTTGATCTGATACACAGACAGTTTTGGTTGATTCATTCATGACTAAATTGCAGCATTACAGGGAGGAGCGGTCCGGGCAATAGCGTATCCCAGCATGCACCGCGTAGACGGCTCGTAGAATCAGTGCTTCAATCTGGCAGGGGAAGCATTCCTGATGTTTATTAGGTGCCTAAAATTGGGATTTTGCTCGCAGTCATCTTGAACATGAGCATTTTTTTTACATCAATATCAATCAGAAGGGGTTAAATAAAAGATAGGCCTAAAAATAATGAAATGATTATGTTTGACTACACAACTGGAAAACTTGAAATGACATACGGATCACAGAGATCGTGGCAAACTCTGACTGGTTGAATGGAAAAAAACCTCAAATGCCCTCAGTCAGCTGATTGAGTTGGAGGCACAAATATGGTCTTCCAGATTGTTTAGAAACTGGAGGCCAGTTTAGACTGTCGCCCTCAAACTGCAGTTTCATAAGGTAAGATCAATTCTGAGGTCTATAAAAATGGTAAAGAAAGATTTAAGTGATTGGACTTCAGCGCTGCGAAGCATCCTCTCTAAGCATCAGCCCATAAAGATGAGGTATAGGACAGGATCCCCTTGGAGTCTAGACACTGGTGGTGGTGGTGGAGTAGAGCAGGCAGGTGGTTGACTGAAACTTTCAGTTGAACCGCCCTGAACATCCTGGAGGTGATACGTTGTGCCGTGGCAGTAATAAAAATTGGCTGGAGGAATGTGGGCAGAAAAAATCAGATGTCAAATTTGTGAATGGAGGTACTTGCACAGCGTGGGAAGGCTGAAGTATTGGACAAAATTAGAGCAGGAAGAAAGAAGAGAGTCACTTGAGACAAAAGACCGTCCTAAATTAATTTTCACCAAATCTTGCATGGACAGCGGTGAAATGTAAACCATGTACTCACGTCTAGTTTTGTACTTTACTTGAGAATTTTCTGCTACTTTATTATTGTACTTCACCACATTTCAGAGGAAAATATTGTACAGTATATTGTAAAATAGCTACAAGCCACCCAGCTAAAACATCAAAATACTGCTGACACACTGAACATTCCTACTTCCTACTTTTACTTGTAAATTGTGCTGCTTTCAACTTTTACTTGTAATGGAGTATTTTATAGTGTTATATTGTTAAGATCCCCTCCTGTCTGTTAATATTTTGCTCAGGTGTCTGGTAAAGTGGCTGGAGGTGCGCTGCGTCTGCCCCATGTGCAACAAGCCCATAGCTGGCCCCCCTGAGCAGCACCACAGCATAGGGACTCTTCTGGATGAACTGGTGTAACTTCTCAAACACTGCCAGCCTGGGTGGGCCGCAGCCGCCCGGGCCAAACCAGCTGATATAAGGTAGCGACCAACAGGAAGAGAGACACTGTTTTGCTGCGAAAAACACAGCAGAAGCACCAACATGATGATAGTAAGTTTGGGTAACCTAGTTACTACCCGGAGAAAGACTGTGAAGGATGCTGTTGCCTAGCAACCACCTCCGAGATGGCAACACGACACCTTGTGGTGTCTGAGAGATTATCTCCAGCCGCCCACACATCACTCCGCCAATCTTCAACATCCCCGCTCTGTCACATCTGTCTCTTGTTGCCTCGAGTCAGGTTGATCAGGCACCACTGAAGAAGGGTTTTCATTTTTCACAACGATGTGGACGAGTGAGTGTTGAAGGATGACAGCGCTGGGTAAGATCCCCTCCAAGCATGTACCAGTGTTATTTTCACTAATATGAAATAATGTGATGTCGGCTGATGCCATTAAAACTTGAGCCAAATTACGCTAATTAAGAAGTTTTGAAACAAAGTCACAAAAAAAAAAGTATTTCACCGAGCACGAGAACACATTGACAGTTGAAACTTTGTAAACTAAGATTAAAGCTCAAGAGCATAAATTGAAGTCACGCTGGTTCAGAAATTATGGAAAACATGGATTCAGGCATCATCAGTGGGCTTTAAATTAATCATATTACAGCTCAAGCCGTGTAGCAAATTAATCAGTGTTTCTATCAAGTCAAACCAATTGATTTTTTGCTTATATGTGCTACTGATACTGACACGTCCTGCCTTTCACTGTAACAGTTTGGTTCTTTGCTGAAATATGTTGATTTTTTTAAGAAATTGCACTTTAAATTCACACAAAATAAACAGCCATTGTAAAATATTAAGAGTCAGGTTTGGATGCAGCACAGCAGGTTTCGTGTTTCCAGGTGTGGTGAATCTTTTATAAAAGTCTGTGAAGTATCCGAGATGCTGCTTCATCTGAAGAGAAGGGAGGCAGCAGAACAGTCCCTCGGTGTTGTGAATTCATCCGGGAAGCAACTAAATCTCACGTTCATACATTTCTGTGGCATTATTGCTGAGATTCAGTTTTTACATTCCTCGGTTGTAGTTCTTTTTTTTTTGTTGTGATTTCCAGCTCTCCAGAAAGCGAACCACTGCCTAAAATTGAGCACAAAACTCACAAAGCACATTGTCCAGACACTGACGGCACCTGCACTGTAATTAAAAGCCAAACACACACGTGAGTGCTGTTGAATTCACACGCCAAGAAAAGAAAATGTCAAAGAGATTTGTTCACTCTGATTCTGGCCACATTCCACATTTTGTAATTGAAACAGATGTAAATAACTCGAAACAATAATAAATACAGTTGTCTGTTTTGTTCAGCTTCTCTGGTTTGTCTCTTGGTAGTCATGTATCTGGCGCCATCGTCAGGTGAAATACTGCATGAAAATGTATTAAATTATTCTACCTAGTTCACTGCCTCTCAACCTTTTTGGCTTTTGACTCTCTAAAGCCGAACAATGCTTTATGTGTTTTAACCAAAGACAAATGTTTCCTTCTCAAAAGGTTTAGTGTGAGTAGGCTTCAGAAAGGAATACTCTTTTAATAGAAGTAACGTTCTTCTTTTTTACCTTGTTAAGAGGGCTGTAATTAAACATTATTGGTGGTTAATCAAATATATGGCTAATATTGTTATATAACAGTGAAAAAAGCCAAACAGTTACTTCTTCAAATTTCTGCTAGACTAAATCAAAAGTGTTGGTTATCCAGTGAGTGTCATTTTAAACTAACTGCAAGTCTTTTTCTGGGAAAGTTTAAGAGCTAAAAACTTGTGAAAGTACAAAAAATGTTCAATTAAACCTAAGGAGTATGTTATTCTGGCAGTGTATGTGTTTAGTATGTCAAGTATTTGTTTGATACTGGCTGAATACACACCGGTGAGACTGCTACATAATAAAAGTCAAAAGCAAGACATGAATAAATAAGAGTAGTACATAATATAGAGACAAATAGTAACACAAGAATATAATAATAAGTTCCACTCTCTCTCTGTAGTCGTTGCCCTTTCCTTTACAACATATTTGATATGAATTATTTGCCACTGCATAATAACACTCACATTTCACTAAAAATCTCTGAAAATAAAAGTGAATAACGGGGTTAAACAAAGCAGCAAACTAAAAGATTTAGAGGAGTTGGAGCTCAGGAGTCAACATCTGAATGAAAACAAGGACCATCTGTGCGCTGCCTCATTAAATGTGCAAGACCCCGTCCTATTGGCGGGTCTAACCGGTACCTAGCTATTTCCCCACAGCAGATTGCAGGTGGCCAAGCATCGAAAGTCTGAACTGCATTCCTTACCCCGGTTGCCTTCTAATTAGGCTTAAGGGCAAGGAGGAGCCTCGGGAGGACCTGAAAGGGGATTCAGGATGGAGGGAGATGGTGTGAGATCTCACATGGATGGAAGTGAACACTGAGTCTGATAGAAAGTGAGAGATGGAAAAAGAGAGAGGCGAGGGAAGTGCTGGGAAAAGGTGGAGACTGAGAAGAGAGAAGATGGGAGAGAGGAGGTACTCGGTTTGGCCGCTTTACCTCTCAATTCTGACAAGGTAGAGAATTGTTTCATCATTGTACGGATGAGTAAACTTGTCAGCGCTGGCGAGCACACCGATTTCCTTTCAAGACTGCAAAACAAAAGCCTGCAAAAGAAGAAAGACTATAAGAAGAGATGAGCAGTTCAGGATGATAGAAATCTGGTCGCAACTTTCCTCTGAGACCCCACAGCAGTTGGTGATTATAATAAAATCTTTCTTCTGTAGAGTGTTAAGTGTGCGTCGGTGGATGATGATGATTGCATGTTTCCGTCTGCGATCTGTTTCATTATTAATCTGATGACCCACATGTGATTTACTGCCTATAAGGTGTCCGACCGAGATGAAGGCACGATGAAAGCGTTTTAAATAGATGAAATGATTTTAAATAACCAACAAGATATAGAAGATTACAACCATATATATCCCCGGGCGCCTGTCATGGGCAGCCCACTGCTCCCTATATACTAGGGATGGGTGAAATTCAGAGAACAAATTTCCCCACTGCGGGACTAATAAGGGATTGTTTAATCTTTTAATAATATCTAAACCGAAAAACAGTTCTCAAAGGATTTCATTGGCGTTCGGGGTCCAAATTAGGATGAACTTTTTTATTACAAATGACCTGACTTAATGCTTTAAAGGATTAGGGTTACATGCATCAACACACACTCTCTCTCTCTCTCATAAACACACACACACACACACACACACACACACACACAGCTTGGGTGGACCTAGAAACATAAGCAAGTCTTTCATGAGATCAGCCTCTACCTGAGCAATAAAGAGCCATCTGTGCTTTGAATAAACTGATGATGGCAACACACATACACACACACACACGCACACACACGCACACACACACACACATGCACAGGGTGGAAAGACACAGAGAAATGCTTGTTTCTGTCACTTCCCACCTTCAGCGTCGTGGCACTGCAGAGTGAATGTAAGGTCAGGTTATTTCTCTCTCTGTGCATTTTATAGTAGCCAACCTAAACCTGACCAGCAGTCCAACAGCAGCAAGAAGAGGGTGAAAGGGACGGTTAAAATGAAGTAAGCTGCTCATAAACCATTGAGACACATCAGGACGAAACTGACCAGGTTGGTTGGTTTACTTTCTCCGGTTGTCATTTGATTTGTTTGATGAAGTAAGAATTTCTTTATGTCAAAGCCTCTCCTACATCTGTTTCTTACTTTCTTTAAAGTCTCAACAGTTGGATGGACTGCCATGAAACGATGTAGCCTACAAACATTCATGTTCCCCACAGGATGAACCATAACAACTTTGGTGATCCTCTGGCTTTTCCTCGAGAGCACTTTGTGTTGTGTGCTAATTAGCAAATGTTAGCATGCTAACAGACTAAACTATGATGTTGAACATGGTAAACATTACACCAACATGCTGACATGTTAGCATTCAGCACAAAGCACCGCTGTGGCTGAGTGCAGCCTCACAGGGCTGCTGGCATGTCTGTATGGATTCTTAAGTCTTGTTTCCTTCTGAAATACTGGACACCCTGAACTGTCAAACTACTAAAAATCCTGAAAGTGAAACAATCTGAGAAAGTAAAATCCTTTATTGGTTGAACTGCTCACAGTTTGTGTCCATGACCTGTAAATATTCACCACGACTAGACTTATAAAATGAATTTTAAGGGCCAGAAGCCTAAAGGTTTGGCAACCACTGCTATAAAATGTACATTGTTGTAACAGGGAGTTTCAGCGCTCTGGTGATGATCTGTACATGCAACACAACACCTGTGAAGATGCTGCCTGAGGATGTGACAGATGCAGACAACATGAGAAAACAGGAGGATGTCTTCTATAAAAGCCATATTTATTAATCTATGGTTTAGGAATTATGGGTTGCTCATCTTTTTGTGGGTGCATCTCCACGACACCAAAGGAGCAGTCATGATTCTATGAACCTCAAGAGTTTCAGTTTTTTTTGAAAAGACAATCCACCATGTTTAAACGGTGGCTTTTGGCCCTGTTGGCCCGGGTCGGCCTCATTGTGCTGGGCCTCTGCTGCTGTCTGTCCCTGTTCTACCTCCTCGCCTGTAAGCCGACGTCACGCGGCAGCCAGCAGTCTCTGCTGTGGTCTGGAGGGGCCACCAGTAAGGAGGGATACATGGCCCTGTTGCAGGAGAGGGAGGACTCTCACAGACATTACATCAACAGCCTGACGAAGCAGATAGCCCAGCTGAAGGAGGCTCTCCAGGAGAGGACGCAGCAGCTTCAAGAGTCCCTGGAAAAAGCTAAAACAAGAGGGATTCTGCCTCAGGGTCTGGAGAGTCTGCACAAAACCCCAACACAGACTGACCTGAAGGTAGGAAAACAGGACACAGGATGGTGGCGATGCAAAATAGATGGAGGAGTACCATGGACTGATGAGATAAATGATGTGTGACGTTGTAGATGTAGTAGTAAATGTTACACAATTCCCTCCAGGATTTCTTGCGCTCCCAGCTGAACCAGGCGGAGGTGATCTCAGGTGTACAGCTGCCCAGCGAATACGCAGTGATACCTTTTGAAACTTTCACCCTGCGGAGGTGAGTGGAACCGCCGTCCGTCGGTAAGGACAACAGCAGAGCGATCAAAGCCTCCAAGGGTACTTCTGATGTCAGGTCCTACCTCATGCCTCTTCATAAAGTGTGTTAAATTTGTTGTCCTGTCACTCAGAGTGTACCAGCTGGAGACGGGGCTGACGAGGCACCCGGAGGAGAGGCCTGTGAGGAGAGACCACAGAGACGAGCTGATAAGCACAGTGGAAACAGCTCTGCACGTCCTGAACGGACCTCAGCAACACACAGACAACACCAGACGGAAGCATGCTTACTCCCCGTCCGACTTCATAGAGGGTGAGCGAGATCTCCGTTCATTCATTACATCCTCGTCAACGTTTTTGATGTTGATTCATGAGATTTAAGATTCAAGAGTTTCTGTTTCTATAGATCGACTTACAAAAAACACAATGACAGCTTCATCGATCTCATCAATGCACGCTTCTCATGATATTTTTCTGGCTCTGATTGGCTGATTGTTTTTACAACCAGCGATACAGCCGTCAATGAGCACAACACCAACACCTATTTGAATCAGTCAGTGAGTGATTCAGAGGCCTAGAACCAGGATAGGAAACAAGAGCATCCAGAGGAAACCACAATGGGAAAAAAGGGTAAAATCCAGGACATTCTTTCCTTTACATGGATACATGGTACTTGGTCATTCTACAACGCAGGGTTGCACAACGAGATGCTTTGCATATGTGGGGAAAATATTAAATGAATATCCTTGTAAACATATGTGATTTGTAAATAGTAAAGTCCTCATTTTTACTCAAGAAGAACTTTAATGGCAAGCATTTTCTATTTGGAGTTGAAAGTGTCTTCTAAAAGTTGATGTTTTATTTTAGACAGAAGGTATTCAAATTATGTAATAGCTCATCATTACATCTGTGCTGTTGCCATTAAACCCAGTGCAATCACAAAGCAACACTTCAGCCTCTGTCCGAAACAGGTCATCCTTTATCAACATCTTTAAAACACTGGGAACGCTTTATTTTCAATCATTTCCTTACAATCACCTAGAAAATTCTCTGTGAAGGACTGTGTCATTTTGTAATAATTATAGGGAAAGGAAGTTTAGTTTAGTTTGTTGTGTTGTGTTAATGAGCAGGAAGAACTTTGAAACTATTTTTTTAAACCTTTAATGACTACTTAGTACTAAAAAATAAGGACATTTATTGCATATGTTGAATTATTGACAAAATTAACATTTTTGCATATTCAACTAACCTGCTGGTTACAGACTAATAGACTCAACGTTAATAATTGGTATTAAATAATTGGAAATTCACCTATTAAAAACTGTGTCAATACTGACACAATTTTTTGACACAATTGTAGAAATAAATATGAGACCGATGAAATAAAGTGCAGTCTGTCTCTGTCACAGGGATGACCCGTACAGTACGGGACAGGGGAACCGTCTACGAGCTGACGTTTAAAGGCGACGGCCCGCGGGGCTTCACACAGCTCGTGCTCTTCCGGCCGTTTGGTCCCATGATGAAGGTGAAGAGCGAGAGCATGGATACCCGCAGCATGCTCATCAACATCATCGTACCTCTTTCCAAGAGGCCGGACACATTCAGGCAGTTCATCAACAACTTCAGGTATCATTTGTAAAGTGGGATAACAAGCTGGCACACATACTGCGATTGTATCAGGGCCTTATTGATCTCACATTGACAGTGCTGAGTGAATCCTTGTCTTAATAGAGTAGCTTGGTTGAAAGTCAATAACGCTCCTCTCCACTTCAGATAAAATTAGGTGTTTATAGACTATAAATTTGTGAGTCTAATTGTTGTCCTTATCTAATAAAAAGAGTAATTTGTCTCTAGATAAAGTGGTATAGAAGTGGGCCTAACACATGTATATTTGTATTGTGTTTTGGGATCAGAGAAGTGTGCATCCAGCAGGACGGCAGGGTTCATTTGACTGTTGTCTACTTTGGTCGAGATCAGATAGATCAGGTGAAAGCCATGCTGGACCAGACCACAAGGTAATGTAGTGATTTGTAGTGATGTTTAATCATCCGCTAATGTCACATTAGTCATGTTCCTATTCACATATTTCTATGCCCATTTTGATGCGAAAAATTGAATGGAAACGGAAAAATTTGATAAAACTTCCTCAAATGCAAAAATAGTCTCTAAACTCGCTTGAGGTGGTTTCTGCATTTGCCGAAAAAAGAATATAGCACCAACGTCAAATCAAACTATGCAGTAGCCGAGTTTATTCACTACGAACCAGTTGATGGAAATAAGGCTAATTTGCATTTTGCTTAAAACTTGCTTGACAATTGCATGTAAACACAGCATGTATTTTCTCTTCTAGTCTTTAAAAGCTACAAATATATTCTGTGCATCTCTTTGTTTCATGTAATTTAAGAAAAGGCGAGCCAGGTTTTGTGTCTCACAATAGACACAATAGATGAGGTGCTTTCATTTCAGTTTCTACCTGGTAAAGAATTATTTGTGGTCCTGGGTGACTTTCCTTTCTTCTTATGTATTTCTCTTGGTATTCATTTCAGGGTCACATATTGACCTCTTAAATAGAGCCTGTCCATGAGCCCGTCCAGGATCCAGAGATGGGACAAAGTCACTGTTTTGAAAGTTATTTAACACCAAATCGTTAACTTTAAGTCATTATGTGCCCTTCACCAAACTATATACCATTTCAATTGTGTAACAGCACAGGAGTACAGTAAATAATTAAGGCTTTTTTGATTACTTTCAAAGCAAAATGATCAGGTTTGACCAGAGCTAGTCAGTCTGAAGTATCACGTGTTGTCTGTCTGCTAGTCTGCACTGATCGACTGCTGTCGGACTGATTCGGTGTCTATTTTCAAGTCAGGACAATGAAGAGTTGATTAGTTGCATATTTTTTTAAACAATTTTTCATTCTTGGGCTTCAAGACGATATCGAGTCAAAACAGCATTGATATTACTCTTCAGATTTCAGATTCATGACCTGAGTTGAAGTCATGTGACACGAGTCCACACTTCCCGCAAGATGATGATCATGCAATGACACTGATGCCTCAATGACATGATATCAAGAGAGCCAATACAATTTCTGTAAGACTATATCGAAAAACGTCTCTTCTCTGCTCTTTTGGCATTCACTCTCACAGATGGGTCTGAAAAAAATAACAACATAATGCTGCAACAGTGTGATGAGACTTTATGTCTGGAGATTATTTTTTTTGAAATGATTATTCACTTAAGATTTCAATTAAAAACACTCAGATGCATCAGATAACTGTCTATGTAAACACAGATTATCCCATGACAGCCCTTCTGATTTCCTCTTCTTCTTCAGAGAGACTCGGTTCAGGAGCTTCACTTTGATCCAGCTGAATGAGGAGTTTTCTCGTGGGCGTGGTTTAGACGTGGGCGCCAGGGCATGGAGGCACAGCCAAAATGTCCTGCTCTTCTTCTGTGACGTTGACATCCACTTCACCGCTGACTTCTTAACTTCCTGTCGTCTCAACGCAGAGCCTGGTGAGAGAGGGCTGCTTCCCTTTCAAGCACTTTTGCCACATCTTCAAGTGATGCTATCCAGCCTGATTTCCTACAACAGTCTGTTTCTCCAAGAATAAAACAATTTAGGTTAAATTAGACGAGCTGGGGTGAGAACAGGTTGTCAGCTCGTAGAAATTCAATGTCACACCTGGTGCCTCATATGCTGCCTGCACTCTGTTTCTGCCGGTTTTTGTTGCACTATCCTCATAATGAAAATGATAAGCCAGAGGTTTCATTTTGTCCCTATCTGTATCTGCATTTATCAGAGATCAGGGAGCAGTCAGTCATTTTTTTTCTTTGTTCAGGCCTGGATGTTATTGTTGCTCATACTAAAGATCCAGTTCTTATTCTTCTCACTCCAGTCAAACCTCCGCTGGAGCTGCAAGTAATGAAAAATGCATCACTTCCTGGCTGCCAAGGGTTTTAAACGGAAAAATGTGTTTAAGATTGAAATATGAAAAATGTTAATAGTTTAAAAAAATAATATTTACACTATCAAATGTATGTGAATGGTTTTAACTGTTTTTCCCTCTAGGTAAGAAAGTGTACTATCCAGTGCTCTTCAGCCAGTACAACCCCTCTATTATCTACAGTAATCAGACACGTCTACCCTCTGTTCAACAACAACTGGTAAGTAGAAAAACAAATACATACAAATAGCTAAATTCACTCGAATTTATTAGAATTAATTGTCAGGATGTCATCAAGATGTAACAGACTGACTTGTTTCTTGTCTCAGGTGATGAGGAAGGACACTGGATTCTGGAGAGACTTTGGGTTTGGCATGACATGCCAGTACAGGTCTGATTTCCTCAACATAGGTAATGGAAACGCTTGTGTCATCACCTATTTCACAAATTTCATGTGTTGTAAGACATAATACAGTTAAATATTACAAGACACATACCGTGTAGCAAAAAAAGTACAGGACTCAATTTTGATTTTAACTTACCCATTGAACAAGCATACCTAAAGTTAGAAGTACAATTTGCCTCATTTTATGTTGATAAATCAGTACTTATAGTAAGAAATAAATTCCCTACATGCTAGATTGAGAAAACTGAGTCCTCCTGCTGCGGAGCCGTGCCGACTGTGCCTACATGTACCAGGATGCATTGCATGCGAGTGGCGATTTTGCTACGTCTGATTTATAAACAAAAAAAAACGTCAATGAAGGAAATATAGCTACACCCAAACACAAAACAACAACCGTACACTCTCTGAATTCAAGTGTCTCTTATACACCAAACTAAGAACGACGTAATTGCCTCGTTAAACTCGTCGTAAAACACACTTCATTCAAACTGGACAGAAACAAAATAAAACTCTTTCCTAAACTATTTCCACTGTTCCAACAATCAGCAACTCTGGTTTGGTTGAAATAAATCCTTAATTCACTGAGTAAGACGTGAAAATATGCTGCTGAATCCTCATCATTGAGAGGCCTCTCTCTGGCTGAATACGGCTGAATATCCAAGTCAGCCAAAACACTGTATAATGTACACTGTAAACAATCCTCATCCGTAACATCCTCTTTACCTATATTTTGGGAAGCCATTTTCGCGGTTGGAGAAGTTATAGTTGTATGCACTGATTCTCAGTGCACACGTTTAAACTTCTCTACTTCCTGGCAGGTGGTTTTGACCGTAACATCAAAGGTTGGGGGTTGGAGGACGTGCACCTCTACAGGAAGTACCTTCACAGTAAGCTGATGGTGATACGCTGTCCGTCTCGCGGCCTTTTCCACTTGTGGCACGAGAAGAACTGTGCAGACGAGCTCCCTCCAGACAAATACAAGATGTGTATGCAGACCAAAGCCATGAGCGAGGCCTCGCACGGCCAGCTGGGGGAGCTGCTCTTCAAACGAGAAATTGAGGTTCATTTGAGCTCCCAGAAGCAGAGGAACAGAGCAACATGATGGGGACAATAAAATAGGGCTTTGGTGACGTTATTAGTCACTGTTCTGTAAGTTCACGATAATGTATGTTTACTTACATTAACTATTCAGCTTCAAACAACAGATGATTTACTGGGATTATTGTTCTCCATATGGACACATAAACTTGTGAAAATAATCACTGATATATTTTGTGTGAATACAAATATGACCTATTGGTGTGCTGTATGTTTTCTTTCCATAGAAAAGTCAAAGTGGGGATGTGGCAAAAAAGTTCTCTAAATAGTTTGTGTGGTTTAATGTGGTTTTCTTAAGGTAGTTCCCAAACTTTTGCTGTAATGCCCCCCCCCCCCCCCTGAAAGCAGCAAAAAAAAAACTTTCCCAGTTTGTATCAACCAGTAATAATAATAACATTATCAACAGCCTAACTTCAATTACATTTTTGGATTTTCTTGCAAAAGACAAAAGAACAATGTCTCTCTTGCTATATTTACAGTGAACTCAAGAGCGAGATACACTTGTTTATATTTTGTTAACACTTTATAATAAGGGTGCAAATTAAATAATTAAGTAATCCTTAACTAATGCATGACTCTTGATTAAATTAATGAAGAATGTATCATACATTTCTGTTTCTCACCATCAACAAATGATTAAGTAGCTTTAACTGTGTGTGATTAGTTCACACTTAATAGATCATTGATTGAGGAATGTTTATTCATAGTTACTATATACATTAATTGTAGTGTAATAACGTTAAAAGTAGACTATATTTCGGAACCATGGATTTACTTTGAAAAGCAGCATAGTACAAGTCCTCATAGAAATATGAAGCTATTAGATACAAACATTTTTATACATGAGAAATGTGATGCATTAATTTTATTATATTTTAATAAGAATGACATTAGCTTGTTGACCATAACTGGTTGTTTTTTCTGCCCTGTCACCAGTCGGAAGGCATCAGATCTCTCTTGTGTCTTTATTGTTCAAAAGTAAATCTGATTCACACTTTTACCACAGCAGACATTTTGTCTTGCTATAGCAGACACATTGTGTTACACTGATAATAATGATTTCTCACATATTGCACATAGACCTATCATTTGTGTGTATACTGTGTTCAGGCCTATACCCAGAAGATACCACCTAAACACCATAAAGAAACATTGAGGGAATTCCCACACGGTTATCATTGATGATATAGTACTGATGTCAGTTTATTAGCTCTGCAGACACACAGGGAGGGGCAACTCTGTATCAGCTGAGTGTCAACACAGGCACGCGATAGGCCCAAAACTCCTCTCCCACTTCCCCTGTCCCATGCTGCATTCAGGTACACCTCGGAAATTCCATACAGTGTCTGTCCAATGATAGAAAAGACTTCCCAGGCACTCATCTTTCTGTTCACTTGACAAAAAGGAACAACACAAGTAAATTTCAACTACAGTTTGTCTTTGAATAGCATAACAAATGCAACATTTACAAATAGAAATGGGCCTTTTAAACCAAAGAAAATTGTCATTTAAAGAAGCTTAGTTTGGTTAAATCATTAAGGGTATTTGTCCTTATGTTGGATTTCTCCAGTGTTTCAAGTAACAAATAAGGATAATTGCGGAAAGTAAACTTTGAGTTCAGATCAGATGGAGGTCTGATCTGTCAGAGTCTGATGAGTGCACTCTCAGTAAATTGTATGTTTGAGGTGGTGACAGGCCACCAAGCACAAAGCACTACCACAAAGTAGATAGTTCATCCAGCTGTTTCTGTGGCAATGCAGATCCAGGTCCTGAAAAGAATGGAGCTCACCATCTACTGGAGAGGTTGGACCTTCTTCACGGGATCTCCTCCTCAATAAAACACCCGACCTGCATTTAGACACAGGCTTATAGTCGCCGTTCTGTTTCCTTCATATTTCATAAATGTTTCTCTTATGTTGTACGACATCATACTAGAGCAGCATCAAAGTACGCACTGAATGAATGCAAATACTTATTATATATACAATATATATTAGAAATGATTTGTTACTCTCTAATTCCAAATTACAATTTTTTGGTTCTAACAAAATACGCTTAGCATTACACGAAGCATGAAAATGTAATTCAGCTTAGCCAATATTTGAGTAAGCAATAAAACATATGCGACACATTAAACCTACAAACCTTACAGTAAGCACATACAATACATTTTTGCTTGAGACATAGATATTCACAGGCCACAGTAAAATACTAGAAAAAAGTAACTTTGTTGCTGACAGACGACAAACTAGCAAAATAGAACTGAGAAGCTAACATTAGCTTACGGGGTATGAGAAGTGCAGCTAACTCTAATTAAGACTCTAAATAAGACCAATAAGATGCTAATTAAGACTTGACTGCAATGAAACTGTTTCACAGCATCTGAAGACTGCTTGACTTCAATAACTGGTTTGACTTAGTTTCTACTGTTTCTCAGCTTTTGCAAAGCACAGTGTTGTTACACGGACCAAATACTTTTCGCTCAACATGGCGACTCGGAGGGACTCCCTTCCGACATTGCGTGTTTCCTCGCGTTTCATAACAGAAATAAAAGCATTGTGTTGAAACTTAAGTCAATAGTTCAATTGTATACAAATGTATTATTTTCTATTTAAACCCATGTTGTTCAGTTGGGTCATAAGGGCTTTACTCAGGATAACTTTGATCACAGGGGACCAGCCGGTAGACAGTAATCAGTGATAGCTTTAGATAACACTAGTGGTGGAAAGGACCCTGCATAACTAAGTACATGTAATCAAGTAAGCTACTGTAGCCATGTCCAATTTTGAGGTACTTGTATTTCAATTTTTTCAATATCCACTACATTAATTTGACAACTTGCGTTACCAGTTACTCTGCATATTCAGAATATATATGCAAAATATCATCAACAAATGAAATATGAAATACCTTCAGCAGCTGCAACATTAACATGCGTACAATAATCTATCTGTGATAATAGGCTAGTACAATATAATACATAGGCTATATAGGCTATGTTATTGTGAAATGGTCCATTCTGAATAATTCATAATTTTGCTTTTGATGCTTTAAGTATATTTTAATGATAATACGGTACATTCTTTTAATACAGGACTTTTACTTGTACCAGCGTATTTCTACAATGTGGTATTGCTGCTTTTACAAAAGTAAAGTAGGCTACTTCTCCCACCATTGACTAACACATATAAGTAGGGAATTAAACAGAAACACATGATATAGTTGAAACACTCGGTTGTCAGTTAATTGATTAGTATTGTGAGGATTAATCACCAAACCAAAGTAACAATAAACCAGCTCAGAGTTTCCACAAAACTGTCTTTATTTTTCCCAGCGTTACATGAAGGCAGCATTAACCCGGAGCGCTCGTCTCTCTCGTGCCTCATAATGTGTCTCATCCGAGGACAGGACGCTGTAATGAGCTGAAGAAATCCTGCAGTGTTATGATGATGGTTTGTGAGCGGCTGGGAGGGTGAGCGGCTCTTCGCTTGTGTGGTGGTCTTAGATTAGATTATTTAGACTGTAGCTCAGTGTTATTACAGTAGTACTACATCTTTGATCCCCGGTAGTTTTAGTTTATCGGACAGTCCCCGGAGTGCGGTGGTAGCACAATGACACTGTTTTAATTTTGTGCTGGAGTAGCGAGACATGTGCGGCAGAAAGACCGCTACTCGTGTCGCCTAAAGGCAGCCGGGACCGGACATTTTTGATGAAGACAGAGGCCAGAAGAAGGAGACGCAACATGTTTGAAGCTGCGGGGATCCCCCTCATCGTGCTGGACTTTATCTGTCTCATCCTCGGTATGTGAACCGGATCCACCCCTGTCTGTTAAACCGACCCTTTAATCCGTTTTGTTTAATTATAAAGAATTGCAGCTTGTTAAAGTGGACTTCCTTTATCACCAAACTCCTACAGCAACTATTCTGCTATAGACTTATTACATGAAGTTGCTGAAACAAATCAAATGATTTGCATACACGTCACACATAGACACTGGAGGCTTGAGGTTTCAGGGAACGAGGCCGGAAGATGGAAAAAAAGGGCAACAAAGTCTGCGTGTGTGTTCCCCCCCCCCCCCCCCGAGCAACGCTGTATTTTTAGCTCAGTGTTTGTAGTGTAATCATTGCACAGAGACGAGCTGCAGGGCTGCTAAATGTAACTGTACAATACTGCAGTAAAAGTGCATTAGAGAAAACCTTTGCACTGCCACAGTTCAGTTTGATAGCTGCCATAAAGTTAGAGAGAGGTTTAAACACACAGAAATCTCTCCCTGTCATTCATCTGCGCTCGCTCTTCCTGCTTAGTCATTGTTCTGTGGTCGGGTTAGGTAAAGTTATAAAGATATTGACAGATTCGGTTCAATAAATCGTTAACGAAACGTTGCTAAAATACAAGCGATACCGCCCTGTAACCGTAGTGAGGTAGACAACAAGCTACAACCTTAATTGAATTAAAACGGGCCGTCTTACGGACTCCTCCGAGCTGTGTTAACGATGTATTGAACCGGGAAGTCCGAATCTGTCAATATCTTTCTAACTTTACCTAAGTCTGTGGTCGCCTGTGCTGCTGACTGGGCACCGATCCTCACATTTTGTTGTTAAAATAAATGTGGAGGAAAGTACAATATCTCTCTTTGGAATGTAAAGTAGAACTATTATGTAGCATATAATGGTAAGGTATCTAAAAATCGGAAAAAGTATAGTACTTGAATTTACTTAATTACATTACAACACTATGTAAAACGGACTTTTAATCTCTGTGAGGCTCTTTCCTTGTACAAAGGTCATACCCTATTAATATGTCTTCCGTGCTTAACTTACCACTTAATTCATTATTTGTCTTACTTATTAAGCCAAACTCCTGGTTAAATACAATTACATATAAGTACGCAGCGTCAACAACTGTCAACTGAAACACAGACAGGTATAACATCAAAACATTAATAAGTAAAAAATAAACAATCAGACAGCGGACATTATTCATCTTTTTGCATTTTAGGTGGAGGACGGACTCATCCCAATAAGATTAACTGCATGTTCAGATCAGCATAGTCCACGGATGTCATTCACAGCCAGTTTTAGTTTCTTAAGAATTCCATAAAACCGCAGTCTGTGAAATATGCCCTGCAGTGGGTTTAAATGAGCGAGTCGAAACAAAGGTCTATGACAGCAGTGATCATAAGAATGCCTGGCATTGCATTGCTGACTTCAGGTTTGCCAAATGTCTTTTTTTGTGTGAGAAGAACAACAAAAATGTCAAACCACAGCAAGTTGAAAGATGTTTTAGGTGTGCTTGGTGGTGATTCCTGGACAGATTAACACAATAACAAACCTCATCAGCTGATCTCACCTTCATAGTTCTAGTATCTTAAGTCAAACATCACCTTTGCAATATACTTATGTTGTAAAGTCTTTCAATTCAGTCATTGTGCAGCTAAATAAAAACCCACAAGTCAACAGCTTCTATTACCCTAAGGTGGGAAAACGCCTATGTGATGCCAGCGTTTCACGTTTCCTGTGACTAAAACTTCAAATGATAGCGTTGTGTAATAGTGGCAGTGGCTCAGACCTCTGAGTCACACCAGTATTTGCAGCTGCTTGTAAACATGATGTGCATTTTGATGATAGACGATAGAAGACAAACCGACAAAGAGGTGGAATTTATACAAATGATCTGCCTCTTTCTTTATTTTAACAGTTGGACTTCCATTTTTTATCCTCACCCCTCAACACAACCCTTTCAAGCGGGGTTTCTTCTGTAACGATGAGTCCATCAGATACCCCCTCAAAGAGGACACCATATCCTACCAGCTGCTGGGAGGAGTCATGATCCCCTTCACGCTCATCGTGGTAAGACAACAGTCTTCCATATGTTCTCTGACCTTGAAATGTCAGTAGGTGAGGTCACTTATTGTTTCCTCTTCTCCTCTGTTGGCAGATCGTCTGCGGCGAGTGCCTTTCTGTTTACATGTCTCGCATCAACAACCAGTCTTTGGGGACCAAGTATGTAGCGTGTGTCTACAAAGCCGTGGGGAGCTACGTGTTTGGAGCAGCTGCTAGCCAGTCTCTGACGGACATAGCCAAGTACTCCATCGGTCGTCTGCGGCCAAACTTCCTGGCTGTATGCAAACCGGTATGGAATAGCATCAACTGCAATGCTGGCGGATACATCGAGAACTTCACCTGCACCGGAGACAAGTTCCTGGTAGATGAGGCCAGGTAATGGTCCTGAACACGGCGGCACCAGCTTCTTTTTTTAGGAGGGGAAATGCATACTCAGTTTCTTTGGACTGATTTATAACATTATTAGCTTTGCGTAATAGTAGAGTCTCTCTGGGAGGAGCCTGATCATTTAAGAGTGGCCAGTCATTTGCATTACTTTGCAATATATGTAACTACTATGGCAATCTTAGTACTTAGTATAGCAATTTCATTAAGTTACAGTGTTTACAAGAGACAAATTAAAAGGAGAATCGTCAAAATGTATGCAGTTGACCGAGATATTTCCAGTCTCTTAGTCCCCAAAACTCTAAATCACACACTTTCCACAATGCAATACAATAAATTGGGATTTGAAAAAATAACTTAATTGAGCGTTTCTGGCGAATTGAAATGTCAACAGAAGTGGAACAAAAGTTGCATATAAAAGCAACTTCAAAATACTTTTAAATCTAGAATACTAGCATTATGAACATCTACTATTTATAAATGAGCCATTAAAAAGAGGTACTAAATACTATAGACACCAACATTAATAATTGACTATAAAGAGTGTCTTTTCATTGGACCCTCCCTACCTGGTAGACGCCCAAACTTTAGGCTTTTTGTCAAAAATGTGTCGTCACATTAGAATCATGACATCAGTTATTTCCAGATGAAGCTCCTCTAGAGTCACAGCAGACATCACACAACTATAGTCGCTAAATCATGCTCCTTGCAACTAGCAAACTGATTCTGATGTGTGAAATGAGTGGAGTTCCCCTTTAATCCATTTCTAAACAATATCAACATGGTAAAATGACAGTGAAATAGAGTTTGATTATGATAGACCTTCGTTATGAATGAATGGAAAGTGATTTGATTAAGATGATGGTGCCTAATTTCATTCTGTATCTCTTTTGTTTATTTTTTGTAGACTGTCCTTCTACTCTGGTCATTCATCCTTCTCTATGTACTGCATGCTGTTCCTGGTAGTAAGTACATGTTATCTAACTAATGAACTATATCGCCTAAATGTGGCTTATGTTTGAGTGCTAGAAATGCAAAAAACAATGATTATTCGAATCAATACCTCTGCTTGCTCTGTGTTACTGTATATACCATTAAAATGTACACTATAAATGACTAAATGTATGTATGCCTTTGTCAAAAAGTATACTTATTACAGAATGGACTACAAAATTCTCATGTACACATGTACAGCAAATATTTGCTCGGACAAAATAAACAGTTTGCCTTCTGTTGGTGTGACCCCACAGCTTTCATTGTTTCTAATATTTAATCATCTCCTCTTGCTCCTGCAGCTGTACATTCAAGCTAGACTGAGGTCAGAATGGTCGAGGCTCCTGCGTCCCACCATCCAGTTCTTCCTGACCGCCACTGCTGTGTACGTGGGTCTGTCCCGGGTGTCCGACTACGAACATCACTGGAGCGACGTGCTCACTGGCCTCCTGCAGGGAGGTTTAGTGGCCACTCTCACAGTAAGCTTCATCTAAAGAACTATTAGAATAATGGCAAAGCAAGGCGTAATGTATTTTATTACATCACAACATGCAACTGAAAGTCAGTTTATTTAAAAAGTACATTTAGAAATATGAAAGAATAAATAATTCATTAAACAGGTAGATGTAAAGGATAAACAAGGCATTTTACACAGAAACACATTAAATACAATATAAGGGAAAGTCTGATGTACTTTAATTATATATTTCCGTCTTAGTTGTACAATTAGGGGCAGCTAGGGCTCAGGGGGTAGAACAGGGTCGTCCTTCAGTCACAAAATTGTATACATCATTGGTATAATGTGTGTGTGAATGAGTGACAAATTACAAAGCACTTGTCCAGTACGGTAGAAGGTTGCTTTATAAGTGCGGTCTATTTACAAATACAATAATATGAATAACAGCAGAATGTTTTTTAATTGTGTTGCTTGTTTTTCTGCAGGTGTTCTGTGTGGCCAACTTCTTTGAACAGCCAGTGGACCCCGTAGTGTCACAGGGGGAAGAGGCCTCACACACCAATTTACAGGAAAATCCTCCCAATGGGAACCACTACGGCAGCACTGACTGAATCTGAGGCCTCAAAGACAATACTCTAGAGGGCCTGTACACCTTAAAATGGCCATGAAAGGAGCTAAAACAATGAACTGCAAGTGTTAAATATTAACTGCTTGTTGTTTCTATACAATTCTTCGACATAGTTTGCCCGGTGGAGCCGACGACGCTGCAGGCTTCAGCTGCTACCTTTGGTGTGGTCAGTAAACTTTGATTAAAAGAAGAAACGTGCACTACAGAAGATATAAAGATATAAAGAAGCAGAACCTTCTGCAGAGGTTTTGGGTAAATCAAACATGATATAATTTATGGGATGACAAAACAAAATACAGCATATTACCTGAGAAAAAGTTGCTTTTTTTTACAGTGTAAGCTTGTTGTAAATGGGGTTGCTAGTGTATATTGGTCTGACGTTGCCATCATGAATGAATGGAATTCCTTTTGCCCCGAATATAATGAGCGTCTGTGTGCGCACTGCAAGCAGGCTTGTAGAGGGCCTGGCACCTGTGAATAAGAAAACCTGGACTGTCCTTAAATTTCAAATGGAGACTGAACTCATATATATATATATATATACATATATACATATATATATATATATATATATATATATATATATATATA